ATATGACTTATATCCCAGAGCAATAATTCGCTATCGTTTTTGGAGTGATATCACTCTGAAGTACTGTGATATTTAGAGTCGTCCCCTACTTAGTGATATTACATCAAACCACAAAGTGTTATCACTTGACTGATATTGCCGACATTACTCACTCATGTTTACAAGTGTAAATACGTCTAACAGCAGAGAGCAGTAATTAGATTCTCTTTGGTGTAATATTACCTTGAAGTGATAGTGTGATGTTCAGACTCCTCGAGTAATGAGTGGGTGATATTGCATCACACCACAGAGTGATATTTGAGTGATATTACCAACTTAACTTACAATTGTCTATTAACTGTACAAGTGTGAAGGTATACTGTGATGTTTAGATTCCTCGCGTAATGAGTGAAACTGAATCTCACGACAGAGTGATTTCACTTGTGTGGTATTACCAACATTACTTACACATGTCTATTGAGTGTTTATTTATTCATTTATTTACTTACGGAAAAGCCCATTTACAAAAAATAAGAAAAGACATATAATTGATACTACTCATATCCCAGAGCAATAATTTGCTATAGTTTTTGGAGTGATATCACTCTGAAGAAATACTATGATATTTAGATTCATCGCCTACTCTGAGATATTGCATCACACCACAATTTGTTATTACTTGACTGATGTTGCCGACAATACTTATTCATGTCTTTTACGTTTTGATACGTCTCACAGCAGAAGAATAATCAGATACTCTTCGGAGTAATATTACTGTGAAGTGGTACTGTGATATTTAGATTTCTTCATCATGTGTGATGTTGTATCACATCACAGAGTGATATTACTCGAGTGATATTACCAACATTACTTACACATGTCTATTAAGTGTTAAAGTGTGAAGTGATACTGTGATGTTTAGACTCATCGAGTAATGAGTGATATTGCATCACACCACAGAGTGATTTTACTTGTGTGTTATTACCAACATTACTCACACATGTCTATTGAGTGTCAATAATTCTAACAGTCAAGAGCAGTAATTAGATCTAGTCTTCGGAATAATATTACTTTGAAGTGACACGGTGATGTTTAGACTCCCTGCGTAATGAGTGATGTTACATCACACCAAACAGTGATATTACTTGAGTGATATTATCTACATATGTTTATTGAATGTTGAACGACTGCACACATCCCAATAATTCGCTATAGTCTCTGTAGAAATATTACTTCGAAGTGATACTGTCATGTCCGGATTCCTCTCTTAATTCGTGTTGTTGTATCACATCACAGAGATATACTATTTGAGTGATATTACCAACATTACTCACAAATGTGTATTGACTGTTAATACTACTACACACAGCCCGAAGGAGTAATTTGCTATAGTCTATGGAGTAATATTACTTTGAAGTGATGAACTTAATTCGTGATGAGAGATATGACTTGAACGATATCACCAACATTACTATCACATATCTATGAAGTGCTGACAAGAGTCGTAGCATAGAACCTATTATATCTGGGGTAATATTACTTTATGATATTGATACCACTCACATCACTTACACATGTCTGCAAAGTCTGAAGTTAATGGACAAAAAGCGTAACGGTTCCAGGGACGTACGGTCCCGATTTCTTTCAATTCATATAACAAAAAATTATTTTCGGAATTAGCAACTCCAGCCAGACGCGAGAAAACCTTCAGGGCCTATCATCGATCTTGTCACCGACGAACGAAGAAGGAGAGAGACGAGATATGCATGAAATTAGACATACAAATGATCACAAACGAGCTTTGTGGTTCAGGGCATGATACTTTCCACTTTGTTGAACGCGGACCTTTATGTGTCGGGCGGATTCAAGCCTCTTTCAAGTCTCGGCATTCATCATAAAATGAATATTCGTACACCAGAAGTGATCCATCTATGCTGTCCTATTTCTATTGACTGAAAAAGGTGAATTTTCCGATTTACCTTTTCATAGGTTAGTCAATGGAGTTCTTTCGTACTTGAACCTAGACTGGAGGTCATATTTGACACACACTCATCTATATATATATATATATATATATATATATATATATATATATATATATATATATATATTTAGAGCGTTTCGATATATATATATATATATATATATATAATATATATATATATATATACGTGTGTGTGGGTATACAATTTATACCTTCTAGAAATTTTGTACCGACAATAAGATTAATTAAGAACAAGGTTTATCAGGTATGAAAATGGAGTGAAGAAATTTACGGTAGATCGCAGGTAGACATTGATTCAGTCTAAAAAAAGAGTAGTAATAACTCATACCCAAGATACTCAATTCGAACCAAAAATGATGTAGAATGTGTTGTTTTGTTCTGTGTTTTTTTCAATCAACATCCAAGTTTGAACATCTAATAACTTGAACTACGCCGTTCTGATGATAGCCAATTAGCTTGAAACATATGTAAACGGCTGTCACAAAAACAAGCAACGTAAATTGCAGGTAAATATATAATATATATATATATATATATATATATATATATATATATATATATATATATATATATATATATATATATATATATATATATAAAAAAGAAATTCACTACAAGAAAAAGAGTTCTGTAGTTCACCTGCTATATTATCGCACTTGTAGATATACGCTATCAAAGTATACTATATATTTCTTTCTATAATTTTTTTACAAATTATTCAACAAGCTGGCTATGTGAGACATGAAGAATGCGATGTCTCCATTATCACTCTTGGGATAAATATTTGAGAATATTGAAATCCATGCCTACATTTATTGAAAGCGTAAGACAGTCACTGTTTTGTACTCCAAGGTACTCATCAGTTACGCCATGTTCAACAAATGAAAGGCAACGATTTCAATCACCACATACCCTCCTATTGAATATAAGACAGATATGTAGAGTAAGTCGCATGCACATATAATGCATAGATTATTGTAAATTTCAAATCTTAGAAATCAATGAAAAGCACATGAATACATCTGACATTGAAAGTTTCACATATCCTTATCAATTGAGATACTACATTTCACAACTCTAGTTTTTTGGACAATTTCATCTAATTTGATGAAATAATGAACCATTTAGGTTGCGGTTGTAGAAGATAAATTGGTGTTAATAACACGTCCTTGTTTTGTATATTGAGATATAATTCGAAGAATAAAAGATTACCGCTCTCGCACTGTCAAGAGTGTCAAAAATGAACAGGAAAATAATGATTATATATAGATTATAAGCTCACTTATTGTTATCATAATTCATAATTCTTAATATAATTATCGAACAGAGTTGGAAATTATTAAATAACTTAAATGGCTATAGAAAGCAAGGGGTTGGTGGTGGAAGCGTGAAAATTAAGACTGTATGTATTTTTCACCGCCACATAGAAACATTTTGATCAGAATAAAGAAAGAATAAAAATTTTGCTCAGAAACTAAAAAAGCTCAAAAGTATCTGAGAGTTAGGAAACTCAGAAAGATAGATTCAAGATCTATCACTCTATCACAAATCTAACAATATTTAATTTATATCGAAATTCTATCATGACAAAATCAGTCTATTTTCAACAGCTCACTAATTTTGTCTATAAACTTTGAAATTAACTGAATGAATAATACAAGAACCACGAATATAGAGGAAAAAATCGGAAATTGATATGAAACAGACTGTAAAGCTTAAACTAATTCGTTTTTCGTTCCCAAATGGGGGTACAGCAATTCAAAATGAAATATATTTTCCTATGGTTGACGGTTTATTCTCATCGTAACTTTCTCAAAACTTTTTTGAGAGGTAATATTACTCCTGTTGAAAATAATGAAGAAAGGGGCAATCGAAAGTATTTTAGACTGAGTGCTCTTCTTTCTCGACTCTCATGCTTCTAGAAATGTCATTGTAAAGAAGAAACACTCTTAGGAGTTACGTCGTCAAAGATTATATCGAATCTTTGAATCTTATATTATCGAAATGAACATTAACAAAATTAATGTCTGATAAATATACATTGACCAAACATACATATTTGAAAACAATAAATCAGTTTCTTCCATATAATGTTATGAAAAATGTGTTATATGTCAGTGATGTGCATGGGTATAATACGAAAAATTCTAATCGTTTTTACATCCAAAGTGGAAAGCTTTCTAAATATAAAAATGGTAAATCCAAAAAAGGATTTAATGCTTTCAATAATTTACCAAGTATATTGAAATCTAATACTATTGTTGAGATATTCAACCATGAAATAACAGTTTCTATCTAATTATAGAAATCGTTATACAAACAGTGTGGCAACATTTCAATTCATTAAATTGCACGCATTTCGGAGCAACTGACAACGTTGCTGAATTAAACAAGAAAGAACAGCCGAACAAAAAGTAGAAATATGAGGGCTATATACGAAAGGGTATTATGTTCCATATTCTGAAATAACTATAAAAATATCATTCATATTTTATTTCGACAAGATGATTCTTTGTAATGTGTTATGAAAGCGAAGAATTTTCATGACATTATTTAACAACTGTTTCTTTGAAACTGTTACGATGTAATTTCCCGAAAGCTTTAAATTTCTGTCACAGAATGTGGCAACATGTTTTATTTCCGGACGACTTTACCTGCTCGGTAAACTTGAATGAGTATTACAGTTTGTCATAAAATGTTGTGTTTACGACCTTAATTTTCACATTTGTGGAGAACTGGACATATAAAATATTGGGTAAATACGTTTGAACAAATACGATCGAAAATAAACATTAATTCACTTGAAATGTATCAATTAGTTGATTATACATACCAGGTTTTCATTTTAGCTTCATGCCATATTTTTCGGGGAAAGAACCATGAAAAATATATTCGACTTCATCTATTTCTATATTAAAAGGAGAAAATCACGTAAATTATTATTGTAAGCTAGAAAATTACACTGAAGATTATCGAATTATAACATTTATATACAATGAAACTTGCTATATAGCCGACCTCCGTGGTTTAGTAGGTAAAATACTCGACTATGTTGCGGTATGATTCGGGTTCGAGCCCCGGTGAAGGCATGGGTGTATGTGTTTGCCTATAATTTAACTAGTGATGATAATTGTTAGGTAATATACATTGATTACAGGCCCGTTGGCCTTTCGGAACCGGCTTTAAACTGTAGGTCCACTGAAATTGAAAAAAAACTTTTTATACAATGAAACATTACTACTTTCTCCAAAGTTGACAGTTTGTGTTTTCTTGGATAACATTTGACAAACAGCGCTCTGAGAGTTTTAATCGAATTGATTCGATATTCTGAATAAACGCGAATACAATTTGTGATGAAACTGATGACCACGCCTGATGAAAGTGCGAGACAGCTGTTTCGTTCTGTAAGGAACTCGTCATTTGCACCACATCAATCGAAGTGAGGCAACGATTTCAATCCCCGCATCTTCTTATGACTCCATGTGATGGATGACCTTCAAGTAATGAATATTTCACAATTCCATCTATAGGAATCAATAAAAAACATCTTTCAGATCCTAGACACAACAAGCAAGGAACGTTCATATCTCTTTAATACCCGTAGGTATCGAAGAAATGTATATTTACGAGTATATATATTTCTATACCTGAAGTACTGGAACAATCACGAGTGTACTACTAACGCAACCTATTGACATTTGAAAACATCATATGATACCATTTGTCAAATAGACGTTGCAATTTAGTAGATACCTACGTGTATAGAAGAGATATAAACGTTCGAAACTTGGTGTGTATATGATGGAATTGTGAAGTATTCATTACTTGACAGCATTCCACTTGGAGTCATAAGAAGATGCTTGAGAATTGAAATCGTTGCCTCACTTCGATGGATGTAGTGCGACTGACGAGTTCTTTGCATAACGAAACAGCTGTCTCGCACTTCCATCACGTGTGGCGTTGATTTCAAAATATTTCTCTAACATTTATCCCTCAAAGGACAATGGAAGCATCACATCGTACACGTTCAGATATCTAGCTTTACTATAACGCTCTTTTGGTTAATTTGAATTTTTGGAATGAATGTTCTAGTGTTCTTTTCCTTAAATATTTCATTCAGTGCCAAAACCACAAAAATTCCATTTCCTTATTATATATAAATATATATGTGTGAATATTGTGTAAATTGATTCAATTGGAGTTCAACCCTTATAGGAGCTCACTGGATTTGAACTTATCTGAACTCATGAACAAGATTTCTAATTAAACGTGGAAAATTGAGTTGAAAAGCAATTAAGTCATGATATGAAATGAAGCCCATCAATTTAGACTGTGGTTGATTGCACGAAGACTACGTACTATGCAATTTGTGTAATAATTATTCTGATTTAAAATAAGCAACCATAATTCATGTCAAAAATTTCAATAATTTCCTTTGATTAACCAAAAGATGCTGGTGATTATACTGAATAATCTGTCCAATTTGTATCGACAATTTCTAATTAATATAGTGGTGAAATATAGCATTGAAATTGACAATTAATATTTTATGTGATATCAAAATTATCTTTGAAAGAAACGGTTGCTTTATATTTTAATTATTCACTCACATATTTAGAGCATATTACTTCTAGTAAATACCTAAAAATTCTTGAAGTTTGTTTATTAAATATCAGAAAACTACAGAAAAATTAAACATCAGAAAACATCAATTAAACTACAGAGAAAATAAAACATCTCATTCTCTGAAATAACAAACGAAATCATAGTCAATTCTTAGAGATTATATTTTCTTATCTATGTATAGTTTGAGTATAGTTCTTGACGAAAAATCAAAATTTTCCTCATAATAAATGTTAATTGCCTAATTTGGATTTGAATGTATGTTATAAATTTTTTTAGAATAGAGTTTTCTTAATAGAGTTTTTTTAATACGAGTTTTGTCAAAGCGGTACACAAACAAAGACAAAGATGGGACTAAATGACATTATGTAAAAATATAACGTATATAGATAGCTATATATTCTTCGAAAAACTACTCTTTGCGTAACTGTCTTTGTTTCTTGACTTGTTTCTTTGTGGAATTTTTTCGAATACAATGCTATTTTTAGTATATTACGGGATTTTTTATACAATGTTTAGGATTAATAAGTTTTTTAATTGTCAGAATTGTGTAGTCTTTGTATAATTCAACTTACATTGCTTCATATTTGAAGTTGAGTGTACTTCTCATAACCTTATTCTAAAGTCTTCTTTTTGATTTTGAACTTCAATGGAAGTTCTATATTAATTTATTATATCGAATATTGAAATATTGATGACTGAGATTGAATTCTTGAATCTTAATTCTTGGTGAAATATAATTGAATATTAAAATAAATTAAACTCTTGGCTTAATGTTTCACGATTTATTTAACAATATGAATGAATAGTCAACATGTTTCGAGCGTTAGCTCATTTTGAAGACTAAACTACTATAAAGTATAGAGTAGTTATAAAAGTATATAAAGTCTTATAAAGTTTATAAAATTATATATTAGTTTAGTCTTGAAAATGAGCTAACGCTCGAAACATGTTGACTATTCATAAAATAAATCGTGAAACATTGAGCCAAGAGTTTAATTTATTTCAATATGAAATATTGATATTAAATTACAAGATTGCTATCATTATATTGCTACTCAAGTTCTGACATTAACCGCAAAAAAAAGGTTTGATGATATCGAAAAATCCTCCAATTAACTCTAGTCAATCATGCAATAGTGATATCTTGAAGAGAGTTGGTAGGTACAAGTGCCTTGGTTACTTTGTTGATGATTCCAGTGGCGATAGTGCCACTTAGAACACGCTAGGATCGGTTTCTTCAAAATAAAACCTTTGCTCTGCAAAATAAGTATAAATATTAACCTCCGGATTCGACTGGTTCGATGTTAAATATCTCCACTCTTTTGTAAAGTGTTGAGCGAGTACTCATGCATTGCCTTATATACGAAAGAGGAAGTTTTTGACATGTTGGTGTGCAGAAGAACGATAAGGATATCTTGGAGAGACGAAATAAGAAACGAAATAGCACTACAGAGAATATGCAAGAAATCAGAAGTATTGCAAGCAGTTCAGAGGAAAAAGTATCTTGGAGATAAACTCAGAACAACCAAGTACCTACAGCTGCACTTGATTTTTCAGGACAAGATTCAAAAAAACGCAGTTTTGGTAGAAGAACAACATCCTGGGTCAAAATTTTACATCAGTAGTATGACAGGAGTACTGGATCACTATTTCTAGCTGATCTACCAAACTTCAAATAGCTCGTATGGTATCCGACCTCCGATATAAGATGCCACAAGAAAAAGAATATTAAACTTTTGCGTTACACCACGATGCAATTGAATCGTTGAGAATACTGATAATGAAGGTATTGAGAAATATAAGTTTGATGTTGTCGTAAAGAAAAGCAGTTATATGTTTTACACAGTTGATTAGACTACACAGTTACTCGAATATATTGCCTTTGTCTATGTGATAACCTTAGTTCAATTTCTCGTATATCTTAAAACATGACGTCTATGATAATGGATTGTTTCAAAGATTTTATCTTCTATTTTTATATAACGAAGGATTTTTTCAAAGATGTTATCTTCTATTTTTATATAACGATCTATATTTATTTCATATGAGACATAAATATCAATCTTATGAAACCAGAAGTTGCTAGAAGTTTCTTCTATCGATATACTAACAAAATATTGTATGCCATAAACGGAATATAGTTGAGTTTTTCTTCGCATAAATTTATGAATATTTCAACCCTAACTTCACTGTTATAAATCTACGTCAGTCGTATGTCTCCTGGTGAAGGATGACTTTGAAGGTTATTGATATGTAGTTTGTAAAAGTTGACATTATCAGCAATCAACCGATATGCATTCTGCCCGGAAGGTTTTAACTTTAATACCGGACTTTTATTTAGGACATAATGGATGGCGTGAATAAAGATTGGGAGATTAAATGGGAGCGGAGGGAATTTGACTGATGGCGAGAACTGCAAATTCGGTATTAGTTGCAGGAAAGTCGGTTTATGGCCTAATTCACCCTGTGACGTTATTTGATTTGTCCACAAACGCTAAAGCCGTTTCAGTCCTGTAAAGAGAGCAGTTTTATCCAACTCACGGTTCTGTATTTCACATCTTTCATTCGTTCGTTTCTATTTTGTTATTATTATTGTTGGTTATAGGTACTATTGGTTTTGTTTCAGTTTTTGTTTTTCTGTATGTTCTTGTTTATTATATTACCTGTTATTTTCTTACATATTGGATAAACTTAACATCTCCATGTTCTGAAATTTTTATATTGACTTTACCCATCAATGTTATCTCGAGATTACTGTCACGTATTGTACTACTTTTCAATAGCATATATCCTAATATCAGAAATAGTGTTGCAATTGAGCATCATGGTTTTATAACTAGGAGATCTTGCTCTACAAATTTGGTTCAGTTTTCTCAGTTCATATGTGAGGAGTTTGACGGAGCAGGGCAGATCGACGCTATATATACATATTTCCAGAAGACATAATAAGATAAATAATAAACTACTTATAGTTGAAACTAGGAAGCTTCTTCGATTTGCGAATAATTTATCACTCTTCGTGGAGTCCTACTTGAGTAGAGAATTTCTAGCAACTTCGGGAGTGCCGCAGGGATCCAATCTTGGACCTCTTCTATTTGTTCCGTTTAACGATCTCTTAGAGATAGTGGACTGCATTGAGGCGGCTCATGCGAACGATATTTATTTATTTATTTATTCATTTAATATTGAAATTTATAAGAGCGTGTCATCTATGCATGATTGTTTGAGGCTACAAAGTGACCTCAATGATATCAGCCGGTGGTGTAATAATAATTCCTTACACTTGAATGTCATGAAATGTAATGTGGTGAATTTAGTAGAAAGAGAAATGTGATATCAACATTGAAGGTGTTAATCTAACTCGACTTCAGGAGGTTAAGGATATCGGCCTAGTATTTGGTCAAAAATTCATATTCATACCTCATATCAACCAATCAATTTTATCATGTAGCAAAGTTTATGG